GGATGATTTCCAAGGTCATTGTTCGGTAAAGGATATCGCCGGAAAAATACATAGTCTCTTTTTTTAAACAAACCGTACAGTGTGCCACAGGGTGCACGAACCGTGTGGAGCAAAATTTGATTCACTGTCGCCGCCCAATGTGATCTTTTTATGTCATAAATCACGCAGGTACTTTACCTGTGGGATCGGTCACATCGAATTTTCTACGCTTGAAGCGTCGCTTGGTTCACACCTGACCACGTTTTTTGTTGTTGCCAATTCGACTGGTTTAACACGATCGATGTATAGTTTCAGGAGATGTTGGAAAGAGGTCTTTACTCACACGCTTGTTCTCAGTCCACCTGGGCTCATTTTTCACCTCACATAATCACGTGTGTTGGCTCCAGTTTGGGGGACAGCTAGAAACCTCCATGAGTGATGCCGGACTGGCTGTAGACTCACGTTGAAAAGATGATTGACCTGTAGTTCTTGCGTGGGAGTTTCAACTCAAATCGCAGACGGAAAATCTCGCGACAATATTCGTACCAGGTTTGACCGACAGATGTGCACAAAAGTCAGACGATCGCAAATAACTGAATATTCGCCTACCAAGGCGAAGTAAAGAAACGTTCACGTGAATAATTACACGGTTGAACGGATTTGTCTGGAATATACCAACGGAAAATCTGCGAGTGAACGATGGTTTCGAACCGTTCACTTTCAAACGGGGTGGAGAAAAATTTTGCCAAGCATGAAACGGTCCAGAACAAAGGTGTGTTCATCATAAACGGGTTCCAGGTGAGTCAAAACCGAATTGGTTTTCGCTAATTTCGTGCAATTTAGGTTCAAGTAGAATATGAGGTTGTCGGAAACTCGAAGACTGCGGCTACCTGACGAGTCCCAAGAATGACTGGACCGGTCGTGGGCTGTCACAAAGTTTTCAGTACCCTCACGAGTAAGGTATTGCGTCTACAAAGTTGTGATCAGTTTCCCACAAAGCTGTCCACACCACAGGTCATTGAGGTCCACCGGTTTGAAGAATTCATCCGCACTCTGAAGGTCACGTGGCTCCGTTTCAGCCATCAGCCGCAGGCGCGGGCACATTTGCGGTGAGAGAAAGAAGGCCTTTTCTGCGGAGTCGTTTACCAGAGAAACACCAACTGAACTGTTACCGACTATCGAACAGGGAAGCAAAACTCCCATGTGCATCTTGTTTACAAAAACTGAATGTCCATCTTCTCCTTGAACGCGTCTTTCTGAACTTTCCTGGATATTCATTGACTGCCACTCAAATGCAAGCAAATGCTGCAAAGCTACTCCACAAATTCCATAATAGATATCACTTTTCAAGAGACGCAAAGCGGATTTACGAGAAAACCACATACTACTCGCATGCCTCACCAGTAGTATCCACTCTTACAGTGGCAGTAGTCAGTGATTTTGAACAAACTGTTTTTGCTCGCACACATTTGAATCCTCAAGGCATTCATTAGTGGTCCCAACCCATACTAGATACTCTGTTTTAAAACTCCGGAAGTTCGATCCCGGTTTGGTACAGTAATTTTGACAAACCAATATTCGAGAAATTGAGGTCTTGATATTTGTTCCCCTTCTGAGGCAAACTGTCTTGCCCTATCCACTAACTGATCCGTCGGTGGACAAGTATACCCCGCCTGTCGGTGATAATGTGGGTAGATATGGGATCCTGTTGGAGATGTCGTCTTGTAAGTGAAGCCGCAATATGCCGAGAAGTATTATTCAGCTGTTTTGTTTTGATTGGGAATCGTCCGCATCTCACGAAACTCCAGGGGTTGTTTGTGTCCGGACCATCAGACAGAAGGCACCAACCCACCCACAAACGACTGATATACGCACACAATTGTGGTCACGGAAGGCTTCGAAAGGCCACCGGTCGAGTAGGGAATGTGATTCTCAGCTTGGCTGGGTCGAAGAGGCTGGGGAATGGGCGGCGTCCTGGCAACTCACAAAAATCTGTCACAACAGAAAGGTTACCAAATAGTCCTTTCTTAAAAACCTTCAGGTCACTGTTGGCTTCTGACTTCTCTCGCATGATATTCTCCCGAAGTCCACGAGGATACTCGTTTTAGGCTAGCACAACGTTAGTGAAATCGAGGGAAGTCACTGCTTTCAAACTAGACTAGATTTTCATAAAGGAAACTACTCACAACTGAGAACTCTTCTACAGCCCACTACCGGTTTAGCTCTTCTTGGGGCTCATCAGGTAAGCGCAGTCCCCGAGTTTCCGTTCCGTCTATGTTCTACTTGAAACTAAATAGCACGAAATTAGCGAAACATACTCATTTGCAAACCAATTTGGTTTTGCGAGAGACTCACCCGGAATCCAGCTGAATCTATGGGTTTTTGATGTTTCCAGGCAACCGAATGTGATACACCAGGCCGCCTCATGTTTCATTCGCTAAGATATTCGAGATATCGCGATACATGTATATATACATGTATACTCATAAGGCTGCTGAAAACACTTCGAGAGCCCACGACCGGTTTTGCCCTTCTGGGGCTCGTCAAGTGTTATGTTCTACTTGTAGGCCTTGCGGTTGGACACACTTCAAGGGTGCAGTTACTAGATTATCGTTCGAAGCGTCGGATACATCAGTCACACTGTTTAAGATTGAACACTATCGCCCGGCCAAATGTGGTGAGTCAGTTGCATCCAGCGGGTGCTGGTGCTCGGCTAGCACGTTGGGCCTTCTGAGTTTAGCCTCCAGTATAGTGGGAGATGTGCACTGTTGATAAGCTTGAGTCCACTGCTCTGCCTTTGGTACGGACGGAAAAGAATAACTGCTTAAACGAGAGTATTGTGAACGTAAAGTTGGAGCTGTTTCCTCTTAAACCAGCCAATGGTCTCTCAGGACATTGATACTCGCGGGACGCGCTTGAGGTCGTCCTGAATGGATTGAATTGCAGGATGCTTGCATTTCTTGATCTCGGTAAGCCTTGTCACGCGCCGACCATGAAGTTGTTTCTGCCGAGGAACAGAATGACTGGACTGCGGCATTCACAAATCATCCTCATCGGGTGTCAGTTATCCCTACGCCAACATGCCTGCTCACTGCTCGCAAGTCGCTGATGACAACTGTTCAGTGACACCGCACTCACTGAAGTAACCTAATCAAAGGGTGACGGCATAAAGAGCATACGGAAGAACACTATCCGGCGCCAGTTGGGCAGTGTGTGATTGCATCAAGTCAGCGGACGTGACCGGGAACAAACCATGAAGCGCACTTTGTCACAAATAAGACTCGAGGGATTTTTCTGGCTCGACAATACATGACTGATTCAGGGATATGGGAACTTGTATGATGATCTGACTGGTAAACTATTCAGTGTAAACATCTGATTCTGATTCTGATGAGCTCCGTCGACGGTGTGGATGTCGCTCCTGAGTAAGCTTTCATCGCGCCTGGGCCTTAGATGATACACGTGGTTACAGAACCATCTTCCTTGTGTCGTCAGTGGCATTCGGCAAACCAATCATATTGCTCAAGCATTATCACGTTTTGCGGCTTAGGGAATGTGACAATTCAGGTGTTTCCAGTGCGCACTCGTCTGGCACCGCGCCTCAAGCGGGGTTCAGTGCTTCTTCGATGGGACTCAACAGGATATAAGGTTGTGAACGGCAGAAGTAGCTGGAAAACAATACTGGTGAGAATTCGAGCACGCTGATCACCTCTAATTTTTTCACTGCAGGACACTTAAATCCTGTAGATTTACACTTCACAGATGTGAATGAATGTAATGAATAATGTAACGAATAATAATAATGAATACAATGTGTAATGAATGTAATGAATAAAACAATTTTTGTGCGGTCTGCTTTTCCTTTTACGAAAAAACGACTTCGTGCGCTGAAGATGAACGTAGGCTGACTAATCTCCTCTGTCAGCCCAAATTTCTCTAACTGGTAATTGTAATCGCATTTCGGAGGCGAAAACTCATCAGGATTTCCATAAACTTACTCGAGGTTTATCGACTGACAGTCTTGAGTCGGAACTGACAGTTGGTCAGTGTTGCGGAGACCGACAATACTTCGCTTGATTCTAGCACTCGCGTCACTTGCATGACCACGTGACTTGTAGAAATCTCTGCCTGGGCTTTGCACAACTTGTCCCAGACGATGATTTCGTTAAAGTTTGATTGACAGGGTAAGAAATCAATGATTCCCCATTTGTCTCCAGGAAGACAGATATTGGGGAATGTCTCAAACTGTTCTCATCATCAACAAGTAGAATTCTATCCAAAAGAGTTTTTTTTCAGTTTTCGTGATATACTTCTCCATCAACGTGGACATCCACCTCAGTTATTCAGAACCAGTTAGGAATTAAAGAAATTCGAACAAGGGAATTGGATTGACATTCGATTTTGAGATGAGTGAATAGATGAAAGTAACATCTTGTAAAGCTGGTTTTCAGTAGTGAAGTTTGCTTTGAAATTTTGCGCTCACATAGTGCTTGAAGTTTATGAATACCCATGAAAGGAATAGCCGTTGATTGCAGGGTTGTTTGCCAACCAACAGTCTATTGGACACGAAAGCGGAAAAAAATGTCGTTGCACAGAATTTTTGATGGCTAAACATTCTCAAGCGTCCCGTTTTTGACTGGTAAAGAATGATGCACAAACAATGCAAATTGCTTCCGTAATTTTTGCACCCATCTTCCATCAAATCCGAGGAAGGCTCCCTGATACTACTGACATGTTTCAACAGTAGTTTGTACCGTTGTAACAAGGTTAGAACCCTTTCCAGATATAACTCCACTATAGCGACCGCAACCAGCTTAGCAGGCTGACGCTTTGTCATGATATCTCAAACAACACCACAGGGGACCTGATCGCAAGCAGAGCTCCGGCCTAAGAATACAGGATGCGTTGATTACAACACAAACTACTTCAAGCTCTCAGTCGGTATAAGAGATATCCAATTCTTCCAAAACAAACTGTGAAAATAACATTCCAAAAAGACTACAATCTCACCTGCAGGAACCTCAGTGCGAGCTGGTAGACTCAGAATCATCGTACAGATGTTTCATTGTTTCTGGGGTCATGGGCGGTACGAATTCCATGAATTTGTGCGTAAAGTTGATCCCGCTACTTGTCAATCCGTAGTTGAACTCTGTAGTTGCAGTGCACCTGAAATCACCTTTTTCCCACAGGAAATCACCATCGACACTTGTCTGTGTGTCACGGCCAGTGCCTAGTAGCTTCAGCCAGAGGTCATCGGATTGCGAGTTTGAGGAGTACAGCACAAAGTTGTACGGGACAGAGTACGCGTGTAATTCCACGTCGTCATGAGCAGCAAACTTTCGGGTTTTCTGATTCGCCTCGAAACGATTATGGTTGACTCTGTTCATCGTCTACGCTGATATTATCACATGATGGTTTGTTTTGAATGTCTACACACGGTTTTGCCCTCTTCACCCTCTGAATACATTTCACATTGTCACAGGTCGATGAATCCACGCCTCAGATTCTCAGGTTTTTGGTCTTCCTACGTGTGAATGAAATTAATGATGTTTAGTTTTTTTTATTGCATTCACACTTTTGCGTACGAATACTAAATTTTCACTACTCATTTGATTCTGGACACGCAACTACTTTCTGCAGGGCGTTCCCTGTTACATCAGCCTTATGCACGTAGTTCTTTTTCAAATCAGTTGCCTGCTGACCACACACGAACTTTTGACCAAGCTTTTCCACTTGTGATTGGCTTTATTGATCCTGAGACATCCGGTCAATCTGCGCCATCATCTAGACTTTTGCTGATGGCATAAACGAGGGCTGTTCACGAATTTATGAGTTCCCTCATGCATAAAATGAAACCGATCGATAAGCGATCAATGGCCACGTGAACAGCTAACGTAACTTCGGGCTCATCAATCCCTTCTTAACTCGCTGTGAAAAATGAACTTTATCACTATCACTAAAGGCCATTGGCCCCTCCGAGCCAACTGCTCCAATAAGTGAAAAGATCTTGCTCATTGGATGGACAAGCAAGCAACCGAAAAGTGGAAAATACATACTCGATTTCTACCCTTCACAATTCCTGGACAAAGGGGCCCAAGTTTTGGTTCACAGTAATGATGGAGAACCACAATGTTTCACTTGAGAAAGTCCAGGGTCTGATAAGGCGGTTGCGACGACAGTTCACACAACCTGCCTGCTTTACTCGAACTGGTTATAAGTCCATACCCGTTGCGTCGTGAGGAGACCTAAACACATGACATGGCTAGCTAGAATCATCTCTTTATACTGACTGCAGTGGTCAAAAATTTGAGCTGTTCGAAAAAACTCAGCAGTTATTCACGTGCCTTTCTAAGTAAGCATCACAAGGCGCATAGTCAGTTCGACTTTTTTTCTTAAAGCGTACGCTGTGGTAATCAGAACAGGAGATAGTGGGCAGTACGCAGTGGAGCAATCCAGCGCAAGAAACGCAAACCACAACGCAACACAGATCACGGACGGGCCAATCAGACTGAAAGTGAGAATATTATGTGTAGCCACTCAGGCGAGAGCCTGAAGCTGCCATCTTGAACCATATGAGCACAAGCCCCTAATTATATAGGATTAGAAAAAATATTTGCGAGTGATTGCGAGTAAACTTTAATTGGGAGAAGAATGAGTGAGGCGAACGATTCACAGGTTCAAAGTGAAAAAATGAATACACGCTCATTCGACACGTGCTTGGATAAAAATTACAATAGAAAGATGAATGCACCTTTTGATTGCGGGGACAACGAAAACCTTCATTGGACGATAGTTAGTTGACTGAACACATGTAAGTCGCCAGTTTTTCCGGCGCCAAGTATCCAATGGATATGTTCTTAGAGAAATAATGTTGCTATGGGGAACGATAACGCGCATGTTAGATTTATTTTTTTGACGGTTATTCACGCCCAATTGTTTTCAAGCACTGTAACATTATTTCATCCGAGTGACATCACGACTTTATCAGAAATCGGACAGGAGAATTTGACTACGCATGCGGAGAAACAGAATATTGCAGGCTGCACAGGATCCTTCGCTGAATCCCACAATCCTCGCCCTTATTGGACAGTATGTTGCTCCGAAAGTAGTCAGTATTTGACCAATGCGTCCCAGCAACCCTAGGTTGCTGTGTACAACTCAACTTCCTCTCTTATGCCAATTCGGAATCTAAAGGCTTAGTTGTTCAGCACTACCTGTTCGTTGACCTGCTGGTCAGCCTGGGCTATTAGAAGAGATATCATTAGTGCATGCTGAAGACGTCACTGCAGACGTCATGCCATAATGACGTATACGAATGACCAAGCATTTCGAAACTAACTGTTCATCTTGGATAACAGATCGATGACAAATAGGTCTACTTGAGCCACCGGTGGAAAGGCCAGATGAAAGTGTTACTCGTAAAGTGCTCACGACTATAGACAGTGAGTGGCATTTCATTTCCGATCAACCAACTCAATGTTAAGATGTTTCCGAATGACTGTTTGCTTCGTTGCCAGTCCTACTAACAGAGTAACGAAGCAGTTCTGCGTTTGTGGCATTTTGCCAAATATTCGATCGATATCATTGGGTCCAAAGGGTCCTCCGCATCAGGTTGCAGTAAGAGCTATTTCGTTATCTGGCTACGAAACATGGCCTCTGCAGACAGATGATATCACGCATCCTCAGGTTGCTGAGAACTCTTCGATAACCCAAGACCGGTTTCGCCCTTCTTGGGGCTCATCAGGTAGCCGCAGTCCTCAGGAGTTTGACCACTGACGTTCCAGAAATGTTGCTGGTATCGCGCGGCGTCAACGGATTCGTAACGAGGTGATTAGAAAATTGGAATTAGGCTGTGCGGCAGGTAATTCGTCCGTAGAAAACATCCAGCGACATCAGCTGTGAAGTCTTGGTCACGTGCAATGCAACCTCGTCTACTGAGACCAGTGATGTTCCCCGGGCCTGTATCAAAACTGCGACGTGGAAAACGTATGACTTGGCAAAAATCTTGGAGGAGATTACGAGGTTCAGGTGTTGCAGTCAGCCTACCAGGATAGGGACCCAGAGGACATTGCAGAAATGGAGCTCAAACCATTTCCGTGGAGGTCGTGTCGTCAGTTTCTTTCCAGAGTGAGGGGCTTTGAGATGTAATCAGTTCGTGATGCTTGCGATAAGTCAGGACCGCGTCCTTCACCCACTCGTTCTTCTTTAAAGCCTCAAATACTGTTAAATAGGGGGACATAAGATAAAGCAGAACAAAAGGTTGACGGAAACTCGGGAGTTGCGCCTACCTGATGAGCCCCAGTGGGGGAAAAAGGTCGTGGGCTGTCGAAGTGTTTTCAGCAACCTTATGAGTAGTACATTACAAAGATATACATGTATCGCGATATCTCGAATATCGTAGCGACTGAAACATGAGGCCAGTTTCTTTCCAGAGTGAGGGGCTTTGAGATGTAATCAGTTCGTGATGCTTGCGATAAGTCAGGACCGCGTCCTTCACCCACTCGTTCTTCTTTAAAGCCTCAAATACTGTTAAATAAGGGGACATAAGATAAAGCAGAACAAAAGGTTGACGGAAACTCGGGAGTTGCGCCTACCTGATGAGCCCCAGTGGGGGAAAAAGGTCGTGGGCTGTCGAAGTGTTTTCAGCAACCTTATGAGTAGTACATTACAAACCTTGTGAGTAGTTTCCTTTATGAAAATACTCATAAGTTTGCTGGAACACCCTTGGACCTCGTGAGTAGACTACTTTAGGAAAATATGTTGTGATATATTGAATATCGTACCAACTGAAACATGAGTCGGCCTTTGTGCAGCACATTCAGTTGTAGGATATCATAAGCGACAGATTCAGGTGAGTCCCGCGTGAAAACCAAAGTGATATGCAAATCTGTCGAGTTATTAAATGAGTTATTAAATGTACGGTAGCGAACCATCAGTTTCAACACTAATATTGCTGTCTCTCGTGATGATAATGATGATCATAACATGTGATATCAGCCCAGATGGACTACGGATTTTACGCAGTGCATTTAGTCGATGGATTTCGTAACTGGTGGATTTCTTCGTCCCAATTCCTCCGCCCGGATTTCGCTGCCTCTCAGTCTGCAGACATGTAGGTTTGATGTAATTTCAGGAAGAACAGGACCTTGAGGACGGCGCCCAAACCTGGGAAGCTTTTGGCTCGAAAGCTTGACGCCGTGGTTTGTGTGACACCGTCAGAATTGTTAAACTTTTCAGGAACATGTTGCCATACATGTTTCAAACTGAAACTTGGGGGGAGATAGGACACATATGAACTGAAAAGTTGTGAGATTGAGTGCTGGTGGACAACATTAGTCGCCTCAAAACGATTGGCTGCAGCCTCTTTACAGCGGAGGTTTATCCCGGTTGCGAAGGCTTTTGCACGTTTCTGGACTTTAGCAATCGACTGGTGCTATCATTCCACTGGCTGCTGAATTTATCAATATCAACGCGGACAGTTGCCATCCAAACCCGAGGATAGCATATCACCGTAAACAGTCGGACGAAGGAGGATATACGAGAACCGGCTCCGAATGTAAATGGACTACACAACCTCCAATGGAATGACCGTTTTCGTTGAAACAGATCTAATTGGTAGTTCTTCACTTGCCTAGAACTTTCCACGTGGGCATTATAAACAGCCCGTTTTCGGCTGCACATGACACGCATGTACGCGTCAGTGTTCAATAGATCAGCTGACTCGCACGTTCATCGGATTTCTGGTTTGGCTAAGCGCATCAGGCCATCAAGCGGTTACCCAAACTCGCGTTCTCGGTATTAAGAAGGCGCTAAGAAAAGTGTGGTACACAACAGTGTCCTTACGGAAGAAAAGATATAGACACCCCTGAACAACAAGCAAATAAAGACATCCGCGCGCGGTACCTGAGGTGGCGGCCACCAGAAGGATTGATATACAATCCCTTGCGAAGTCGATGTAATACCTCCAATGCAAAACGAAAGCTAACCTTCCAATGGGATCGGCTGCACCGCATGTTCTGTGGGATCTCCAGCCACTGCAAGGATAATCATCTGCGCCTCAGCCAAGAAGGCATGAAGCTGTCAAAACTCAACCTGACTAACGTTGCTGTCGCATAATCGGGTCTTGTGAAGCTCCTTATAAAAGTTTTGAAATATGCTCCTTTAGCTTAGGTGCAATTATTTTGTTATGCCACGCAACCATATAGCCGGCCGAATTGTTTGTAAGCTTGGTGCCGCAAAGTCCCCGACTATCCATCTTGGCCGTATGGAAACGGTTCACTGAAAGGTCCTTTTACTATGTGTATCAAAAACACGTTAGAAAGTGAATCTGATCACGGATGCATCAGAAAGTCACTGGAATGTTTCCGCGCACTTTGACTATATCAGG